CCCACCCCCCCCTCCCCCTCCCTCCTTTTCCTTCTCTTCCACCTCCTCCTCTTCCCCCTTCTTCCTCCTCCTCCTCCTCCTCCTCCTCCTATGTTTCTATAATTTCTTTATAGAACTTGATCACAGATGTACTAGTTTGAAATAACTTTTTAAGGTGGGATATTAATGGTGAATTAAAGAATTCATGCCGTATAATATATAAAATTATTCTCCCTCCCCTCCAAATGTTGAAAAGCAATTCTATAATTTCCATCCAAAGCTTGAGGGTTCCCTTGCTTGTTCTTTATAATTCCTCAGAAGATAGGCTTGCCTGAGGTGGGGGTGAGGGGGTAAGGCTGACTTATTAGCTGTTTCATTCAATGGTTTTGAAATGTGTCCATATGATATACTATATCTGGTTTCAATGTTGTTTTCTTTCCCTTAAAAATCTCAGAGCTTCCTATGAACATTATCAGATGAAGTAAATAAAATAAGAGAGAGAACTGTTTAATGATGCTGGAGGAACATGGTTCAAATAGGATATCCTTATAAATGTTGCCAAATCTAATAAAATGCTTTTGTACCCTCCATAGTGTTTTCCTTCCACTGTTAACATTAACTGTGCAAAATCGTAGTGCTGCAGCTGCTGAAATCATTCTGGATTCTTTCTGTTGCTGACCCATGTCCCTAGTTTTGTTGTTGTTTTGGGTTATTTTGACTCTGACTTTTGCTAATAAGAAGCAGCTAGATTATTCCTAAATGGTTCTTGCTAGGCAGTTGAATCAAAGAATAGCATTTCAGTTTATTATCTGTCCTTATTCCCTTTGGACTGGAACTTCAATTTAAAAAATCATGGTTTTGAGATATTATCAGATTAAATTATTGTATCAAAACACAGCTGGAAAAAAAATCTGATTTTTTTTCTTCTGTGATGGAAGAAAAAATACATGAATATTAGATTTTTCTATGCCTCAAGTCCTAAAAGCACATCCACTGAGATATCTTTCTTCTGAAATGCTTAGGACCTCCACGTGCTTTGCCATCTCAATTCAACAACCAAGCACAAGGTAGAAGTTGAAATGAAGGATCACAGTGTCTACTGTTGTATCTTAGGTGCTCTTAAAATAGAGTCCCTAGAATTTTAAGGAACATTCTCTTTAATTAGCCCACCTTAATGATATGACCATTTCCAACCATTTCTGAAAGATAAAGACTACCTGAATCAAATCCTAAAGAAAACTGCTTGCCAGGTTTTATATTTTTCCTAAAAATCAATGGAAGCTTAGATAGTTCTAATTCAGGAATAGGATATCCAGAGGAAACTAGTGCTCAACAGAGAAACGTTGCATTTTTCCTACCTGTTTTCATTCACTTTGATGAAAGAGAATTTGCTTTAGAGTTCTTTCAAATGAGAAAAGAAAAATAAATTCTCATGAGTTAGTTTAGTGTTCTAGTTGCGAGATGGCTAAGAAATTAGTGCAAGTATCCCAGCTTTCATTTTCTAAAAATCTCTCAACTGATCTGTAGTTCCTTGTGTTTTCCACAGCTTAGTTAATACCCAACTGAAGGCATCATAAGGAACTCTTCCCATAGAGCTTTTTCAGTTGCGAAGTAACTGTCACATAAGAGATTGTCAGGTTTTTTTTTAATAAGTAACTCAAGGCGATGAACATACATAATACTCCTTCCTCCTCCTATTTTCCACACAACAACCACCTTGTGAGGTGGGTTAGACTGAAAGAGAGTGACTGGCCCAAAGTCACCCAGCCAGATTTCTTATTGTTTTGGAGAAATGCAGAGAAGTTGTCCACCCAGTTTTATCTCTCCCCAAAAGTCTGGTGGAAAATTTCACAAAAACCATTTTTACTTAGTTCTACAAGAAGCTGTATCCAATCCCAGTTTCTTTTAAAGTTACAGCAGAATCTCATTTTAATAGATTATTTGGGGCTATCTATTATTTCAAAGTCTGGTAAATTGAAGAATATGACTGCATAATAATGCAGATTATGTTGTTTATGCCATTCGTATCAGTCTCAAAGGAAACTAGCAGTTTGGAAAATGGATCTTTCACTGTACTTCTATGTTCGCTGGATGTTCTTTGTTGCACAGCACTTGTACGTCATTGCATTTTTGCATTTTAGGTAGAATACATAGCGATCCAAATCATCATGAATAAGGATGGTAAAATGTAGGATGTGCTCCATGTCCCTGGGGCAGTTCCTAATTACACTGAAAAGCCAATAGTAGCTTTGCATACTGATAATACAGGAATTGCTAAATGTGCAAACTAGACCCAGTTTATGAGTATGAATATAGTATGGCAGTTTCAGAGGTGAGTTGTTGCCTATTTTGACATATCTGGCAATCTTTTCAATCTTTTGAATATTTTGGCAAAAAATCAGTGTTATAATCTTACATGGGACTATATTTTATATATTTATTTATCAAATTTATATAGCTGCCCATCTCACAAAGATGACTCTGGGCAGTGTACAATAAAACATTATTTTAAAATATTCATTTTTAAAGGATATTTTGTTTTTAAGTTCCAATCTATTAAATGAGTTAAACTAGACAATGCTTCCTTCTTATTCCTGGATATGTCTATCATTTGTTTTTACAATTTTAAGTAACATCCAGACTAAGGAAGTAAGCCACAGTTTGGTTCTATTGAAATCAGTGGGACTTGTTAGTGGTGAATGAATTGCACTGTTAATTTCTTAAGGACTAAAGCTTGAAAATGCACCCTGGATACAATATGATTTACTTTAATTATTGGGCAAAAATTATATCTGATCCAACCTAAAGACAAAACATTTAAAAAGAAGATTAGTTAGGACAAAGAATGTCTCAATCAGTAGCCCTTCTTTCTTGCTTTTCATAGCAATCACATACAGTATCTTCTAACCAAAAAAGCAAGGAAAAACATCATCATCATTATCAAATTATTGAAAGAGAATTGGTGTATATTCTAAATCGGTAATTTAAGATGTCAAGAACATCGTGCACATTTGTCAAGAGTTATTACATACTCATGAAAGTTGATTTTTCCCCAAAGTGACAGTAACCATCAGCATCTTTCGTAGCATTCCCAGTTACCTTTCTATGGCTAGAATGATGTCACTTGTAAGCCAATGCATACAGTAAGAACCAAGCAGGTTGAGGAAGGCTGTAAGCATTTACTATATAATGAGAATTGTTATGGTGTATGTCACGCAAACCTAAGCAAGGATGATGGAACTCACTTCATCATTTTCTTCTAGGGTTTCGGTAGTCCCTCTGGTGAATATTGGCTGGGAAATGAGTTTATCTTTGCAATAACCACCAGTCAAAAACATTACTCTCTAAGAATCGAACTAACGGATTGGGAAGGAAGCCGGGCTTATTCACAATATGATAGATTTTACATAGGAAATGAAAAACAGAATTACAGGTGAGTCCAGATGTGATTTTACTTTTATGAGTGCCTTTTTAAAAAAAAATATATGCATGTAACTAATCAGTTGAAAACTTAGGACCATGAAAGTAAAACTTGAAGTTTGGTTTTAGTAGATGGAGTATGAGATCCTACATGAAACTCTCTAGCTTAATTCAGACAATTCAATACTGTTTATTCTGATTGTCTTGATGCACATCTGGGTATATAAATAAGATGCTCATATGCACATATTGTGAATATACATTCATATAACTACACAGTGTTCCTTTGACAGGACATTCCCATTTTATGGTTGTAGCTTTCCAACTATATTTCTTTCCACCACAATGCAATTAGAAGCATTTTTACTTTGCAATCAGTAAATGTTCACTGTCCTATCTCATATGTTATTAAGCATCAGATACTCTACTCTTGTGATATTTTATTTGTGCTAATTAAGAAATATGTTCAAAGGTTGTGCTATAAGACTGTATTAGAAAGACTATCCCATGGAGTTTTACATTTCCCAGATATGAAGTTGAAGACCTTTAATATTCATCTTTAAAATAAAAGTGAACCTTATAGCTCTCTTCTCACCTTGAGGTTTTCAATTCTTCTCAGGTTGATTTTAACTTTAACTTTCTCAGTATATATTTAGGTCCCTATCTGTCTACTGGTTCTTCTCTCTCTCTTCCATCCTCCACTTTGCCCCTTTGTCTTCTTCCATTGGTATTGAAACAATTATTGCCAAAAGATAGGACATGCAAGGCTAGTGAGTAAAATACATTTGTCAGTGCTCGTGGCATTTTCTTCCCTACCATTACAACATTTTCAGTAGTCAAGCAAGGGAAGAGACAGAAGAGAGAATCTGATCCAATGTGATAGCATCTCCTTTGTTATATAGCAACAGTTACTAGTTAAAGGTGTAGGGGGAGATGAGAGTAGAGTTGGACATGTTGTGATTCCAAAAACACCATCAGGAGCACAAAATGTACAGATTTGGTTTACAGTTGGACTACATAGCTATTTGAACTTGGCTCAAAGTAATACACACTTTGCAAACCCCGGGAAAATACTGTTGGGTTTTTTTGATCATGAAGAAACCTCTGTGTGTATCACATAAAACCTTAAAGATGAACATTTTCCCAAGATAGAAATAGCAGATGGAGAGCATAAATAAAGGTTAAGTTGTTATTTTTCATTTAAAAGATAGTGATCTTTTAGTCAAAGTTCTCAGTTCTTACTCTAGCCAAGTTCAGCATCTTATTGGACTGCAGAGTCTAATAATCTTCACATACTTGTATATGTTTTCTTTCAGCCTAGTTTATTATCTAATATGATTTCAAAGTTATGGAGGACTTTCTCTCAGTAATTAAGAGTAGGTGTGCCTCAGACAAAGACAGAAATACTGCAGCCCTCAATAGCAGACAATATTCCTGATCCTGTTAAAGTTTGTCATGATTAAGAGGAGGAAGATCCAAGGAAAGATGTAATCATAGTTCAACAGTCAAGCACATTATCTTACATGGAGAAGCTGCCAGGTTCTATCCCTGCCATCTTGAGTTCAAGCATGGAAGTCTCTGATTTCAAATACTGGTTTTATTTCTTTATTCGATGTACACCTCAGTCTCAAGTCAGGAAAAAAGATGTGATGGTGATATATGACTTTTAGTAACACAAGGATTTTCCTTTCAACTTCATGAGTTTCCTTCCTGCAATTTCATGCCAGGTGCACTTTCCTCTTATGAATGTGGATTCCTGTGGGCATCTGATTAGTTACTGCGGGAAAGGAATGATAGGCTAGGTAAGCTTCTGGTCTGATCTAGCATAGTTCTTCATGTATTGTTATGGAGAGTTGTTGCCATTCCTCATTGATAATATTGGACTATATGTATAAATACATTGAGCTAGTATAAGGCATTATCATATGTTCCTACAAGATCAAGTCAGACGCAATGGAATTTAAGTTAATCAGAAGTAAGTGCAATTTACTTTGATTCCAATCCACACGTACCCATCACACTATTCTCATTCAGGGTAAGCAACATTATGAATAATGCAAAAAAGAAGTAAAAAAGTAAAAGTAAAAAAAAGTAGCAGGTTAAAGTAGTTAATGCATGAGGTACAAAAAATAAATGGAACTATACCTAAATCTAGTTTACAGAAACACCATTTGCTATATCTCGCCATATATTGCTAATCCAATGAACTATTTGTGCTTTTACTGCATCCATGTACACCTTCATACATTGCTTTACATTCTTTAAACTTCCCTTTTTCTCATATACTCAATCTACCTAACCACAACTTTCTTGGTTTTCCTCAGCCTTTCAACCCATTCATTCTTCCTTCATATTTTGGTTTTAAAATTTGTTCCTCATTCATTATCTTTATATGACCCAACCATCTCAAGGCATGTCTTTTTTACTGGTCACCCACTTTGCTATTCAATCCTTATTCAGCCTTCATTCTTGACTGTCTGTCCATTTACTCTACACATTTCTTAACTTAGTTTCATGTTTCTTCCAACATATTCAGCTCTCATGTCCATGTACCAAAGAGGCAGAAGCATGCACTTAGCCACAGCTGGTTTTGCTTCTTTTGACATTCACATCTCACAACATGCTCACTATTACCTTCCAACCAGCATTTGCACATCATAAAATCTCTCCATCCATTTCTTCATCTTTAATAAACATTTTATCAAAGTACACAGATTTATCTACCTACTCTTGTCTTTCAGTATCTTTGTATAGCTTGCAATCATTTGGCCCATTTTCCCTGTCAAACACAATTGCTTTGGTCTTTAATATACTTGTTTTCAGATCCATACATCTTGTTGTATCATACCATCTAACATTCACTACAAATCATTTCGGTTCTCAGCCACTGCATATAAAAATTCACATACTTTCACATCCACATCCACATCCAACTCATTTTGACTGTCACTACAAGCATTCGTTATACATTCCAAGTTGTAACCCTTGGTTTTCACTAGATGGTCCCACAGATATTTGAGAATCTCTTGCTAACTGTAAAGTCAGTACTGACAGCAGTGGCACATTGTGGCTAGTATGACGTGAGCACAAGTTTTACCCCAGAAATGTTCACAAAACAGTATTCTATGTAAGCTAGAATTTCTAATCTAGAGACTATGTTACAAGCCAAGAAATCATCATAGAGTATACATGTTCATAAGGCACACATACTCAGGTTGCAATCCTATCTGTGTATTTATATGTTCAAGCACATCTATAGCAGGAAGCGAAAGAGAGCAAGAAGGCTGCTGAATAATGACAACCATAACCAATATGCAAACTGATTTACCTTGGGAAACCGACTCTTAGTCAGTTATCTGTCTTCAATTTATTAATATACTAATGATGATCTCCAAGGCACTGCTATAGGAAATTGTTACAGGCACATGGATAAGACTTCACTCCCCTTGCCAAATGTAGAAGGGCTACAGAAGCTGGCGAAGAACTAAAGAGAAAACTTCAATGCCACAGAATAAGATGTGTTATTGCCTTAGATTTTAACAATGTTCATTTGTTTGTGTTGTGTTTAAGGAAGCTCAAAAATGCCTACCATGCTAAAATCCATAGATCTAAGCTATTCTTCTCTTGGAGCTCCATTGGTTTTCAATTGTTTTATTCTGAATATCTGTCATGAGGAATGGCATATTTATGTGAAATTGTCCAGCCAAGTGAAATCTTTTCCATGATGATGAAATGATTAATAATGATGATTCTGTATCCAATTTTCTGTTAACAAAGGCACAAATACAACCAGGGTGCAAAGCAGATGAAATTCAAATACCACCATTTCCATCAGAAATAAAAATAGCCAACCAAGACACTGGTTTCCAAGTTGGTTTGGGCATTAGTTCAAAGAATACTAAAATAGAAAGACCAAAACAACAGCAACAACAAAAATGAAATAAGGTTTTGGGAGGTGGGGAAAAAATCTTTTGAGTGCCTTTTTTGCAGTAAAGTCTCATCACTGGATAAAGAACACTGCTCCAACATTTCATTATAATCACTGATGTAAAGATTCAGGGTCTACAAAGTAATCCATTGCATCTGAAAAAATATGGGAAATCATTTTTCATACTGTTCTGCAACACCCTATAGAAAGTTTGGATTCAGCCTGGATCACTCCCAACTGATGACTTCAGAAGTGTTCTGTTTATTCTCTGTGCTGTTTGTATTTCTTTCTCTCTACTAAGTTTTATTAGTCTAAGAATCTCTGATTTGAAGCAGTAATGCTGAACACATGTACATTAAAAAATATCCTCACTTTTCAAAACCATACAGCTGTGAAATATTTTTTTTCTGGGAAGTCAAGATCTCAACTCAAGTCTACAAAGCATCCAAGAGCTCACCAAAGTGCTGGATAATATCTGGCATTTGCTCAAATACATGGGATGGATATTTGCATTGGATGGATTAATTCTTTTACATTACTTTCTGCACAGGCAATATATAGTATGATATGTCTATGAATCTATATAAGTGAAGGCGTTTGCGGTTTAAAGATTGATACAGTTTTAGATCATAGACAAATATACTTTTGTTATTCCGTTGGCCAGATTGAGTCTTCAAATAGGCTTATCGGGAAATCGGGGAAGTGGGAGAAAAGGATTTGCAATCATACAGACTAATTTGTTTCAGGAATGGCTTAAATTTAATTTTGATTTTTCTTATGTGTTTGTTTCAAATTGGAATATTTTGGCCAAAAGAGTTCTTCACATTAGGGATGTCTTTGGCTTAAATGTCCCAAGCTAAAATATAAAGTTCTCCATGATTCTTCAAGCGTATGAATCTCTGGTAAAATAGAGTGGTTGGGGGAAAAATAAGGGAAAATGGGCAGGAAGAAGCAATTAGGCCTGTGTGAAGCAACTGCAATGAGGGACCTTGAATTGTAAGGGAACTTTGTAATGGAAGAGTGACATGATTTACATCAGTGAGATCATCGGTGTTACCTTGCAGACTCTGCTTAATCTGGGGGCA